AGTTATTATTGACAGTTGGCTCTTTTCCATAGGATCCCCACCCTTCACCTTTTACAGCTGCTTGGGATTTCCTTGCAGCATGGTGGCCAGATCCCAAAAGGGAGTGTTCTTCGAGACAGGAAGTAGAAGCTGTAGTCTTCCTGAGGCAAGGGACTAGAAAGTGTTAATACATTGTATCCACAGTTTTCTGCAAGTTGAGAAGTCACAAAAGCAACATGCTAGGGGCCCTTGATGGGGGAGTCTCAAATTCTGAGGATTATACCTTGAAACAATAGAATAAAGCTTTTTCTGGAGATAAGTGAGCAGCAACACATAGTACAGGGTTTGGATGGAGCCTCTAAACTCTATAGTAGGGGCAAAGCATTCATAGTTCAGAGTGGCTAGGCACTCTTCTGGCCACCTGGAGAAGCATCCAGTTGGTGAGCACAACAGGCATTGTCCTCCTGGAGCAGCCACAGTAGCACTTCATGTCACATGGGCTTCTGGGACACTGCCTCCTCCTCCCCCCTTCATTTGGGTGGGCTGTGATTTTACCCTTGATGGGTAGAGTGTGGTAGAGGTGATATTGATGCTATGGGACTGTGTGTTGAGCAGGTCATAACAGGTCAAGTTACTTCATCTGGCCCTTCTCTTTCTTTACAGGCCACTCTAACATCAAGACTTTAAGGCTGCACAGGCCCTAGACAACAGGACAGTATGACAGGTAATTCCATTACAGTCTGCCTGAAGCCTTGATCCAAAGCATAATGAATGGCTGGCAGCATTATGGCCTACAGTCTAGGCATTTGTTATGAAGCCAAAGCAACTGGTACTGTGGGAAAAATATACACAACACTGGGACCTCTGGACACTTCATGTGGATGCATCCAGAGAAGACTAGTGAGTGGGGAACATTCACCAGATATAAACCAGAGATCAGGCAGGGGTCTTGAGCAGGTGGGCAGCGGCTGAGCACAGGCTGGTGGGGTGGGTAGAGATGGTGGCACACCCTTCCATCCTGAAGGCTCAGAGGACCATCTGCTCCCAAGCAGGGGTAAGCTGGATGCTTAGCATGAGACTTTATGCTGGAATGGGCAGGGGGCTGAGTGAACTAGGGTAGGGGGCAGAGGGGACTGAGGACAGGGAGGTCATGTACAGAGCTGTGGTACTGGGCTTGGGAGGCTGAGAGGCTGTGGATGAGGGCAGAGCTGAGGAAGCAAGAGGTGTCCATGCTGGGCTGAGGACCAAGGATGTGGGTAAGGCAGTAAACAGCCATCTCTGCATTGTGGCCTTGCTGGCTGACCTTTCTTGGAACACCGGGCTTGGGGGAGCAGAGGTGACACCACTGTAGCCCATCATCTTCTGTTACACCTTGGTAGACACGTCTCTTCATTCCTCTGGGAGGCATGGGGGCTCCTGTCACATGGTCACTTGGTCCTGAGCAAATCAGGATGCTGCCATTAAGTTCCCATGGTCTGTTGTGGCCTGGGCATGCTCTGTGGCTGTCATTGAAGGTTTGACCTATCAAGTCTTCAATGAGGGTCTGGCCCCCATACAAGTGTCTATGGGAAAATTAACCTTCCTGGTTGCTGTAAATTCACCTGCAACAGTTTCTAACATTTACTGAGCAGGAAGTGGGTGAGTCACCTCTGCTTACCACACGGGTGAGGCTGACTCCTACAGACCACTGTCCCACTGTAAGCTGTTTACTAGGAGCCCTTCCTGGTTGGCTGGAGGCATCTTCTGGGCTACCATAGCCTTTCATTATTCCTCCAGTTTCTCAATGTAGAATCATACTATATTCTGTACTTTTACTCTTTCCTGAAATGGGAGGGGGAAATCTGTGTCTCTAGCATCTAATAGCCTTACATTTAGAGGGTGTTTACTTGAGTCTGAGAAGAGGATTGATGTGGGGTGAGCTCTCTGGGAGTGACATTCCTATGCAGAGGCTGCTGGTGACATACATTCTTAAAAGGCAAAGTTCTGGCTGAGGCAGAGACAAACTACAAAATAAAACTGCAACTGTTCATCACCCCTCCCATAAGGCATTGTGGGCCATGGAAGCTGGCACTTTAAGGTCCTGGAGTCCAAAGTCAGATGCAGCGGTATGGCCCTGTCTCTTCCATAGAACTCGGCTTCTCCTCTGTCAGCAGAGTAAGGGAAGGAGCATCTCGTATACCCTCATGTAAGGGCTAGGGCCCAGCCTGGCAGCCCTGGCTGCCATCCTCTCTTTTGGGGCTCACATTACTTGTGGTGAACCTCCAGGTGGAGAGGTGCAGCTGAACAGGAAGAAATTCCCAAGCTTCTGGTCTGTTGGGGTGTGGATGAGCACTTAGTGGGCTTGTGTGGCTAGGGTAGCTGAGGTTACCATCACTAGCCTGAACCATCTGAAAAATGCTCCAGGCCCTCACTTTTGTACTAGCAGAGCCTGAAGGGAAGACAGGAGGGAAAGCCCTTTAGTGGCAGGGTCTGGGACCCATATAGAGGTTGAAAATGTCTAGGGATACCTTCCCAGGTGTCTTCTCTGTCCCCCCATTCCACAGCCTTTCACCAAAGAAAGGCAGCATTATGAGTATAAATGAGGCTTCCAGAGCAAACCTCGGACGCGGTGCTCCATCTCCAGGGGCTTTCCCAGAACAGTGATCCTCCCTGAAATTGCTCTGCTTCATGGTCCAGCTGTGCTTCCTGCCTCAAGTCTTACCCTGTGTAGTCAGGTCACTGCCAAGTGAAACAGTTATCCCATTACATGAGGCCCACGCTGTAGAGATGGGGAGGAAATGGCAGGGGGCTGAGGCCTGCCCAGGTACCTCCATCAGCACTCAGCTCTGCCCCTCTGGCATGCTCTACCTGGAAAAAGGGGAGCTGCACTCCAGTTTGCATCAGTTCTTTATTATAACCATATTGAATGGGATGGCTATGCCAAGATGCTAAATCATTTCCTAGGTCATGAGTTACATGAAGATGGATGAGAAACAAATGACAGGATATAAATGGCATCGCGGAGGTTCTAATATCAAATGAATTGTGACACTGAGAGTAAAGTTATGACCTTTCTCTCTAGCCTGGTTACATGAACTTGGAGTATTAACACTGAGATTGTGATTTGGCTTGTGAGAGGAAGCTGACTTTCTGGCAGCTCCTCAGTTCTATTCTCTTGGTGCCATGGCTTCCCAGTCCATCTGCTCTGGACATGGTAGAGGCCAGGTATGTCCTCAGGGGAGGACAGATAGAGCTGGTCTGGGCTAACAGGGCAGCCACTCAACACATGGGGACCTAAGTCCTCACTACACTTCTGTAATGACCCCCACACAGCAGTTTCTTAAATAATGAAAACAAAAGCCACAAATTTGAGTTACCTATGACAGCTTATCCTTGGAGGAGATTGTGTGTCAAGGAGTTTTCCTTTGTTCTGACATCTCTGACAGAGTAAAGGCAGCACCCACCCCCTGTGTGGCTTCCTTAGGGCTATGAGGCCTGTGGCAAGACAGCTCAATTGTATGTGGAAAGACAAATCACAGGGAGATCTTGGTTTAGTTTTGCAATCATGTTCATTCTGCTGTGTGGTTGTTTCTATCCAGATTGCAGTTAGCACTAAACTCAGCAGGAGGTTGTCTTTGTGAGGATCATCCAGTATAATTAGAATCTTCAAGTGTTATGTGACCTCTTGGTATACACATTAAGATAAGGCGAATCATTATGACTCTCTAGTCTCTAATGCTCTTATTTAAAACATAGCTAAATTTTCTTTACTTTTCATATTTCCATTCTGATCAGAAAGGACTGCATGAAATACAAAGACATAAAAAAGTGTCAACTAGAGTTTATCTAAGCTTAGATATATAAAATGTATTTAAATGTTAATAAAACGAGCAATTCCATTGATTACCACATTGTTAATGTTTCATATATTCAGGATTTTATGAATGTGCAATTGAGCTTAAGTACCTGATGAAATAATGAGGAACACATTATTTAATAGCACTATAACTAATACAAATGCGAACAATGCTTAACAAGAAGAATGAAAAAGTCACACAGAAAAGAATACCTCAAGACTGTAATTGTGTCCTGGCTTCCTTCTTTTGAGAAGTTGGTGAGCTTACTGAGGCCAGAGAAGCACACTTTGGAGCAGACCCACTCCTAGCATCCAAGCAGGGCTTGGGGTTTTACTGACTAATAAATGCCAAGGCCAAGGCAGAGGATCAGCCTAGTCTTCTTGGCCTGGTGAGTGGTCAGTGGCTCTTTTGTAGCCAGGGACATTTAGTTATGGTTCTCAGGACAAAGGAAGAGAGCATGTCAGTGGCCTTAGCTATGAGACTGCCACTGTGGTCCTTTCTGGTCTCTGTCCTAAGACCTTGATGTGGGTCCTACTTCAGTACTGAGAACACCATCACTGTCTTAAGTCCTTTGTGAGAAAGTGGTCAATGGCAACCTCTCTCAGGCTCCCCGTGTATGTGAGGACTCAAGCTTAGGAAGTGTCTTCACAGGGATATGTGCTGGCAGAACTTAGCAGTGCTGACAGGACCAGTCAGAATGAGGACCCAGAGAGCAAATTAGTGCAAAGGCACCAGTTGTCCACTGGCGGAAGGCCAGCCCACCTTGTTATCTGGGAAAACCAGATAGTTATTCAGCTTACGTGTTGATGTGGCAAGAGGAGATTTCTCTGTTACCATTGAAGAACAAATTGGAGAGTTAATTAGAATTCCCTGTGTGGTAGCTGACTCGAGAATCATCACCATTTTATTGGAGATGGAATGTGAAATCATGTCATTATCACACTTGTCTGCAGAGAACACATGGTTAGCAATGGAAGGGACAGTGTGCACTCCATACTTAGCTTTTCACTTTAATATAAAGGTACCTGGAAAGCTGCCACTGCCCAGAGGCCCTGCCACCTTCTGGGGAGAGGCACAGAGCCAGTTCCTCCTGCTATGGCTGCTCTTCTCTGTGGCAGTGAACCAGGCCCTGCATCGATGTGCAGTCTCCACTGACCCCAGAGGGAGCAGGAAGCAGACAGAAGAGAGATGGCTCATGTAACAAATGCTGTGCCTGCTGTGGTTCCCTGAGCTACTCACTGCAGAGGAGTCTCTGCACAGCTCAGGAAGGGCTGGCACAGCAGGCCTGGTCCTGACAGCTGTGCTGCGGTGCAGTTTACAGCTGAGCGCAGGCTTGGAAGCTCCTTTACTAGCTCCAAAAAAGGGCAGGGCTGTGTAGGAATCCCATCCTCCTTGCACCTGGAATGTTCTCTAAGAGCCCTGTTCCCCACAAAGGGACTCCAGGTATAGTTGCCTATCACAGCCACTTTACTCTGGATAAGAATGAGCATGGTTTTCCCTAAGCCTTTCTTCTTAGAGATAAATCTAGCTCTGTAACTAGAGAGACTTGGTCAGAAAATCAACTAAGTGAAATGTTTTCCCCATTTAAAGTTAGGGTCACATTATTCAATTGTAAGATAGTAGTATTCCTGCAACTTTTGAAGTGAGTGCAGCAAAGACTGTCTTACAGTGACCATGTTTTCTGACCATGAAAGCCTCTAAAAGATGTCCAACAGTTGCTTAAGCAGGAGCAGTGATCCAAAGTATACTAGTCTGAGGTTATAAAGGTTCCGTTAACCAATCAAAGAACCTAACACCACACTACACCTAAGTATGATTCTTAAGTCTAGAGCCTGCTGTTAAAGATCATAACTTTGAGAGGTTGGTAGGTAGTTCCAACCCTGAAATCTAGCCATTCTCATTTATTCTATTGTACCCGAATCTGCTATATGACTTTCCAAGGTAGGAGTGGAAGCAAGCAGTTTTCCACAGAATAAGCTTTCTTGACATTAACCTGTCTTCCTGTGGCTGATGCTTCTGAAAGAGAGAAGTTTGAGACCAACTCCTTCCACTCTTCCTGAATGTAACTGATGGAGCTGTGGGACCTTCTTAGTTAGTGGAAGAAAATTGGTTTTGGTGGTGGTTTGGCCTTTTCTGACATTGAGCATGGTGCTGGGTACCTACCCCAGCTCTAATTCAAAGGAAGGAAGGGGCAAGGGGCGAGAGGTCCCCACAGAGGGGCTCCCATCTACATTTCAGGGATTATAACTCTATGTGCTCTGTGGCCTTACTTGCTTCTTTCTAGAGGGTCCCAACAGGCTTTACCAATGCCAAATGCATGCTGGGAAACAAGCATTGGTTTCAGCGGAGTCTCCACTGATGGAGCTTTAGGCCACTGAGGTAGTGGCTGGGCCTCTGTTGTCAGATGTCCAGGGGGCTCACAATGGTGAAGCCAGAGTCCTTGCTGCTGTCATCGTCAGGGCTGGAGCTGGGGTTGCTGGAGGAAGCTGAGGCTGGACCCATCAGTGGGTCTGAGAACACCAGTGGGGAGTAGGCTGGGGCCTGGCTTTTCCCAGATGTTCTTCTAAGGGTGCGAAGAGCCTGGGCCTGGCCTGAGAAGGCACCCTTGGCACTGCCCCCATCATCTTCTTTGGAAACCAAGATGAAGTCATCTGAACTCCCTCCATCTGTGCGCACTGGTGTTTCTGAAGAAGCCTGTGAAGTACAGTCAGTAGAACAAGTTGGTGAAAGCAGAAATTAGTAAAGGACTAAGCAGAGACTTTTTGAGCACTGGGGGAACACTGTCTAGCTGGGCCTCTGTGCCATATCCTTCCTTGGACATATGGTTTGGTTCCACTGCCCTGGGGGCCAGGTTTGTGGTGTACAGTCAACAGCACCTAGTTAAGCCCCTGTTAAACTGAATGCTGGCTTCCTTCTGGCCAAACTGTAGAGGTGGCTTCTATGATGCCAGGAGGCTGAGCCCAGGAACTAGCCATTGGCTGCAGTCATCATTCTTGCCAGTCTCATGTGGAGACCAAGTGCAAATCCCTTCTCCGTAAGCTTTATTTCTCTAATCTGAAAGTAGGGATAAAGAGAGTGTGATCCCAGTGCAGTGAGATGACATGTGAGGATGTGACTCTCACATTGGAGAAATTTTACCACCAACTCTGAAATGGCCTAATGCCACCACTGTGCCAGCCAACTGCCTCATCTCTTTACCACAGCCAGCTTCATCGTGGGTGTGTATGCCAAGAGCTTCTGGGGCAATGGTGGTACTAAGTAGTAGGTTCTGTAAGCAGGGAAGCTAAATATGACAGTTAATTGCAAAGTATAGTATTGCTGTGGTCTACAAAGCAACTGTAAGTGACTTTTTCACTTAAAGGAGTTAGCATTCATGGACACATGGAAAGGCCAAGGATATCTGTGGCCAGCAGGCAGGAAGCACACTTTATCAAGTGATGGTATGCAGAGATGTTACAATCTCTGAGTCTGCCTGCTTGACCTGCTAGTGCACAGGCCTGAAGTCAAGAGATGTATGGAGCCTCTTGGCTGGAAATGTCCCTTGGATCCTTGGGCCTCCTTGACTGGTTGGTACAGGCAGTCCATGAGCTGTACAGAGCCTGGGAACTGCATGTCCTTGGTGACATGCTGGGCAGGTGGCTATGTAATGGCTCAGATACCTTCTACATCTGACATTGATGTATCTTCACAACACCTGCCTTAACACTGTAGTGGGTTCTGAGGTTCATTCACACAGAGGGAGAAAAGCATATGGGTTTTTGAAAGAAGACATGATTGAAAATGGGACTGAGAGAACTGGTTTTTTTTGGGGGGTGGGGTGGGGAAGAAACTAAACCTCATCCCATTCCTGTCTCTGGCCTGTGATCTGAGGAGAGAACTGTGGTGGCCTTGGGGAGTAGGGCTTCTCCCTGCTTCTGCATGCACATAAGCCAATGGAGTCTCAGGTTTGACTTCCTATTTCCAGAGCATGGGTACTTTGGTTCCATTACTGCTATCCTGCACTTGATTCTCCTAACAGGTAGCTCTGTGGCTGGAAATAGAGGAAACTGAACTGTGAATCCTAGTGTTAGAGGAGACGCCATGATCAATTTACTCAGCACGACTTTTGAAGAGGGGAAATACATTCATAGCCTGTGACTTGAAGTAAGGATCCTTCCACCATATGCTAATTACCAAGCATGCTTCTCCTCAAGTAGGGCTATAGACTGGCTTAGACAAACAAAAATTACATGCCTAGAGATCTCCACACTTTTGTTCTTTTATGAACTTCCACATCCTGCCCGCTAACATCCCAGGTCAAGTGAACAAGCGTGGCTGGGGGACCTAGTTAGCTTGACCAATATCACAAAGCAAACTAAAGATACTGTTTTGTACTATCAAACTATTTTCTAGATGCAAAGATGAATTCCTAAAGAATTCCCTTGACAGTCTTAACTACTTACTTCCATTTACACAATTTGCAGAAGTATCATAATTTCCTACTTCAAACTTGAGCAATCAGAAAAGTTTAACTTGTCAGTCCTGCCTAAAATTGGCCAGTACCATTACAACATAAATCCCTTTAATAAACAGATCAAAATTTGGGACCCAGGTACCTGTAAGGTAAGGGATATGTTGATTTGGTTGACTGATGAATCCAGGGTCCAAAAGTCCTATCTCCTAGAGGTGTGTGTGAAGGGTGGGGTCTTGGAGTAACAATTATGTCATATCATAGTGGGGAGCAGGCACATAGATTAACTACAGAAGAACCCTGTCACAGTCTGCGATGGGGAAGGGCCCTGTCAGAACACAGAGCCATGTCCCCACGGTGAGAAACCTGGTGGTTCTGCACTAGGCTTCAGTGGCTAACCAAAACAGAGGTGATTCACACCTAAGTTAGGACTGAGCTGTGGCACAATCTGTTACTGACTTAATGTGAATACATCTAAGTATCTAAGGAGCTTGCCTGCCACCAATTCTTGGATCCCTATAAACGGAAGCTCATGAGACTCCTATAACCCTAGACACCAATTGCCTGCCAGAACAGGCCCTCAGAACATATCTGGCAGCACTCTCATTTGGAAGTCTTGGGATGGCACATTTCTAGCTATCATTCATATGGCCAGAGTCCTTCCCCCCAGCACCCCACAGTGAGAAGGAAAAGTCAGCCCAAACCATGGGATTCAGACTTCTGCAAAAAGAGGGTGGGTCAGGGATTCCTACCTGACCTCAACTTGTGAAGCTAGTCCAGATCTTTGGGCTTATTAGCAACAGGATACACTTCATGTGTTTTGCATCTAGGATTTTCCTTATTTCCTCTGAAGCACAGAGAGCATTACTCCCCAAATTCTCCCTACCTTAGGAGCACTGTTTTTTAAATGAACGTAAAAGTATCATAAGGCCAGGCGCCAGTGGCTCATGCCTATAATCCTAACTACTCAGGAGGCTGAGATCTGAGGATAATGGTTCAAAGTCAGCCCTGGCAGAAAAGTCCTTGAGACGCCTATCTCCAATTAACCACCAGAAAACTGGAAGTGGTGCTGTGGCTCAAGTGGTAGAGCATTTGACTTGAGCTGAAGAGACAGGGCCTAGACCCAGAGTTCAAGCCCTATGACCGACCAAAAAAAAAAAAGTATCATAGGGAAGGAGCTATAGAAGGAGCCCCATAGATCCAGAGGGGTTGACTAAGCCTTGAAGACACATGCAGAGATGAAGGGTCTCTTTGCACTGCATCACAGTGATGCCCTGCCAGATAAGGTCTCAGAACATTTCCTCTGGTACATACATAGCTCAGACCAGATCATCTTGGGTATGTGAATGCAGGGTCCTCTGGGGACAGTAGGAGAGACTAGTAAGTTTGTCAGCCATTAAGCAGGATTGTTTAGGGTTGAGCACCTATGCCAGTAGTGCAGAAACTGCTGCCTCTCATGAGGATTGGCTGACATTGTTTCATGTTTTAGCTGAAGTTCTCCAGAAAAGACCATAAGGAACCAATTTAAACCATCCAGAGCTGCCCAGCCCCTCTTCTTGGTGACCCAAACTTTGCTCCTGAGTTCTCTGCCCCAGAGGTGGTCCAGTCATTAAACATGTAAAATATGAAGAAGCAAGATCTTCAATTGTGCATGCTCTGGGATGTGGTTGCCTCCGCATGTGAAGTCTGTCCAGTGTGAATATGTGCAAGTAGCACCAGTGAAATCCCCTTGCTTCCTCTGTTCTGAGAAACTGTGCTTTGTGAGTGTAGCCCGCCCTGGGCCCTTTATTGCTGCACACAGCCTTTTTTTCACTCTCATCGCCTGGTTCTCCTTATTGACTGCACTCACCAAGAGCAAACCCACTGTGTTTGATTACAGGCTCCCTCATTTGTAGTAACTAATATATGTCTAGGGTAGTCCTAGCAGAGGATCACAATAATTCACTAGCTCTGTACATATGAGCATAAAATGATGCTAATCAAAAGGAACTCCAAGATCTGGAAAAAAGAGTTATTTTGTTTTTGTTCTGTTTTTGAATGCACTGTGTGAAGTTATATCTTTTTTCTCTTCTTTTTTTTTCATTTGGTCTATCCCCTGTTATTGTTTTGAATTATGGTACCATGTGTCTTGTATATACCTTTATCTGATTTGGGGAAAGGAAGGGGAATAACGAAATGGTGAGACATAGGACAATGGGTGAACCGATGCAACAGCGACACTTACAAGACACTATGTTGGAAATGAATTTTACAGCTTGGGGGAAGGGAAGTTATGGGGGAAGGAAAGTGGGAGAAAACAAGGGTGGGGGTAACAATGTTCAACAAAAAATGTACTCATTACCTTACCTCACTTATGTAACTGTAACCTCTCTGATATCACTCTTACAATTAAAAAAATACATTAAAAATACAAAACCCCCAGGAATGCCATACTTTTAAATAAAACTGAATTAAAAATGGCTAGGTTTACCAGGCACCTGTGGTTCATACCTATAATCCTAGCTACTCAGGAGGCTGGGATCTGAGGATTGTGGTTCAAAGCCAGCCCGGGCAGGAAAGTTTGTGAGACTCTTATCTCCAACTAACCACTCGAAAACTGGAAGTGGCGCTCTGGTTCAAGTGGTAGAGCGCTCGCCTTGAGCTGAAGAGCTGAGGGACAGCACTACATGGCAATTTCAAACAGTTTCACAAGGAGTTAATCAGAATTCTGTCTTCTCAGCAAACACTCTTAAACTGAAAAAAAAAAAATCTTCATTCAAATACTATCCTGCTGTTTTATAAAAACACAAAAACAAATTACAAGGTCCTAGATGCTGTTAGACTTAAAGTGACTTGGAGAAGATTTTGTTTGACTTAAAATTCATTTTAAGAAATGAACTGTATAAGCTGACTTTATTTTGGTTGGTACTCGTCCTTGGGGTTTGAACTCAGGGCCTAGGCACTGTCCCTAAGCTTTTTTTGCTCCAGGCTAGCACTCTACCACTTGAGCCACAGCTCCACTTGATGACTAACTGGAGATAAGAGTCTCATGAAGGCTTTTCTGTCTTTGAACCACCATCCTCAGATCTCAGTCTCTAGTGTGAGCCATACGTGCCTGGCAGTGGCTGTTTTTATATGGGTCTTTATAAAAGAAGTTTGTTGACTCTTGTATTGACATTAATGAGAAGTTCTTCCCCATGAAGACAAAATTTGACCAAAAAAACCAACAAAGCCAAAATCCAAGAAAGGTTCTAGCCAAGTGAAATCCATTAAGACAGTCTTAGGAAAATTTAGCATAGTACATGTACTTCCTGTGCTAAAGGAATGGAGAGAGCAGCTGGGAGCAACTGACCAATAATGAAGGCAGAGATTCACAGAATGAATAATAGTGCTCAGGCCCATTCTACTTCCCACAGGTTTATAGTCTGATTAACTCTGAATGATAATGACCTTCAGCACTGAGTGTATAATCTGTATGGCTGAACATAGCCCCCTGCCTCGCTGTGTTATTTCACAGTTGAATAACCTGAAGTGCTTTAGTAGGGACTTTCTTTGAAGAACCATGGAGTTAATGTAACAGTGTTCATCAGAGCTCCTGCACCTGCTTGGTGGTCCCAGAAACTTGGTTGTCCTGGCCCTGTCCACTGGAGCAGTAGTGGTCATCTGCGATGGTGATCTGCTCATTCTCCTCAGCCTCCAGCTGGCTCTGGTTGAAACGCAGGGAACCTTTTAGAATATCTTTGATCTATTTTCAAAGAAGAAAAGATATGAATAAGTATTTAAAGGCTGGCTAAGTCTACACATTTAAAAGCAGAATTGTCATTGACCTTTACATTAATACAGGAGTCCCCTTATCCTCATTTGTTATCTGATCCCAACTGCAGTCTAAAAATGTTAAAGGGAAATGGCAGAAATAATTCCCAAATCTTAAACTGTGTGCTATTCTGAGTATCGGTCCTATTCTTTCCTACCTAGGATATGAGTCATCCATGCTACAGACGATCCATCCTACACAGACTAGTGGCCGGGTTACCAGAAGACATGTCAGGCTTGTGTTCAAGTCACCCTAGGTGGTAGCCAAACACCTCATTACAATTTTTATCCTGTGCACCTCACTTCATCTCATCACACAAGCTTTGCATCATATCACATCATCAGTATAAGACATTTTGAGAGAACACATTCAAATTTTTATTTTAGTTTGCTGTTATAATCAAGTCTATTGTTGTCAATCTGTGTTTCATTAATAGACCTTATTATACATATGGACAACATAATATAGGGTTCAGTACTATCCTCCATGGACATAGATACCCATTGCTAGTCAATGGAATCTATCCCTCCCAGATAAGAGAGGACTACTGAGTTGTGAATACTAATATGAATATTCTTCTAAGGAAGAAGTGATAAGGAAACTCAGGTTTATGAAAGCTGTGGACTTCACAATGAGCAAAGGAAATCTCAGGGTGTTAACAGATGGCTGGGTGGCATCTTACACAGGGAGTCCCATACGCTTGCACAATGTCCTGGTGCACAACCCCTCTCCCCTCCACCAAGGAAGTGGTTCCACCCCAGTTGGAGCTTTTCTGATCAGGCTAACATTTGTGAGAACGTACTCCTCATTGCCACCTAGACCTGCAAGTGTTATGTAGACTGGAGCCTTGAGAGAGTGAGGGCTTTCTGAGCATGTATGGTTATGGGCTGTGCTTGAAGAACATTCATATACTTTTGGATAAATAATCAAACATGCTGTACCAACCACGCCAGCTCTGGATGAGGAGCAAACACAATAGATTTGGTAAGGAAAAGGTGTGATATGAGAAATATGAAACCTGTTAGGCCTGAAAACTAGTCAAATATCATCAACTGATAAAGTACTCTCTGCTCTAAGGTGCTCTCCTCAGAGCAGGCACCTAATGGTGTCTCAGCAATACACATACCTGTTTTAATCCTGCCAGGGAAACCAGTATTTGATCTTCTTTTTCCAAATTTTCTTGTAATATTACCTCTTGAATATTTACTGAAAATAGAAGAATGACATTTTATAACTAATAGTCTGAATGGAAATTACACAGCACCACATTGTAATTTTGGACAAATTTGGGAATTTCTCTGCCAGATTTCACAACAACTACTCCCACTGAGGATGCCCTGCAACCTGCAGGCAGAGAGGAGCACTGAACAGGTGTGCTCAGGCTAGATGGGACTCACTTCCAATGAGACACTTGGATGCCTTTATCACCCATCCTGACTCCAGGAGGCAGCATGCCAGCCTGAGTTTCTTATACTGCTGCAAATTCAGTGGTGTTATTTCACCTCTTACTAAAGATTCCTCCCAGGTGACTAAAATGTCTCTAAGGATCTGTAACAGTAAGCCACATTGCTATTTCAATGTAATAGTAATAAGCATACAATTTTATGGTACTACTCTTGTCTCAAGACTTGACACCCAGCTGTCAAGTCATTAAATCCAGTTGATACATTAAACTTCCTTATCCCTCCACCACATCTTCCTCCTGCTGCAGGATGCCCAAAACCTAGGAGGGATTGTGGCTGAGATGGGATTCTTAAGAGAGCTCTGGAGGTCAAGAGTAAAAGCCCACTGCCTTGGAGGTGTATGGGAGACTGGGCTGGAAGGCACAAAGCACATTTTACTGATAGGCATACCATCTGAGAACTACCATCATAAATTCATATCTATCAACATCTTCTGCTTTTTATTTTCTATTGTCTTAAAAATGCCTCCTTTATGTGTTAAAGGGTATTTACATGCTATCCATTCAACAAGGTTGTCTCAGTGTCTGCCTGGCACTCTTGGATTTCCACATAATCCTACAGCCACCTGAGCTTCAGCACCCTTGCTCACTTAGTGAGGATTCTTATGGCTCTCCAAATCTTCCCAGCCAAGCTCTTCTTTTTTGCTCAAGTCCTGCCCTGGGTTGTCTCTTTAGAACAGTCTTCTTCCCTACCAACTAGAGCGCACCATTTCTACCACAGCACTTGTCATCAATATCATCACAAGCATCTACTGCATTATTTGCTTCCCATCTCTCCTAATGGGATAGTCGGAGCTCAGGGCTGTGTTTCCAGACTTGGGATATATCTGGTGCATTACACATACACAATAAGAATATTTACTGAACATGTGAGAAAACACCGTTGGAACTTGCATGCAAAACACTGCTACTCTAAATATTTCTAAAATGCATTTTCAATAAGGGGCAAAGCTAAAGGTTGAGCCTACCAACATGTTTGAGCATGACAGTTAAACCAAAATTTTCAGTAAAAATAAATCCATAAACCATGCCAATAAGGCCTCTTAACTACAGAAAACAGCAGCTTTTATTTATTGAGAAAACTTGACTGGAGTTCTTGCCTAATAAAAAGTTGTGCTCTAAAACAGAAAGCAAGTTGAATGGGAATGGATTAATAGATATAATTAGAGAGCAACTGTTTTTGGTTTTCTTAAAAGCCTGTAACAATTTGTTCTCTCTCAATTAAAAAAAAAACACACACACCAGAATCCACTCAAGACATTAACAATAACAAACTGCAGAAAACTGAAAAGAACTAGTTTTGTAGTAATGTCAGCAGATTGAGTGAGGCTGCTTTGCTTCTATGACCATTAGGGCTCCAAAGGCAGAAGAACTGTGAAGGTTGGAGGGTGAGGTAGAAGCCCACAGTGGCGAAGTGGGTTGACAGGCAAAGGTTTCTGTTCACAATGAGCTTCAAGATGAGATCAGGTTTCCTAGCTCCCTGGGGGTCTGCAGGGCTGGCTGGGAGTGGCTAGCAGGCTCTCTGAGGGGAAGCTCAGTCAAAAATGATAGGCTGCATCAGAGGTTGGCCGGGTTTTTGAGGCCCAGGAATCTAATGGAGGGCTGGGTCCTGAGGCTGTACTCACTGGAAGGGGCCAGCAACAAGAGGAATTCGTACCCCTGACTGGATTCTGCCTTGCCCTTTTATACTCTGTTGTGGAACATATTTTGAGGCAAAAGATTAGGCCAATTTTCAGGGTCCTAGCCCTGCAAAGGAAAGGGAACCACCCCTGGTCCAACCAGAAGCAAGGGTGTACTGGGAAGTTGGAACAACAGAAACCTGTTGTCTTTCATGTCAGGCCTGTGTGGGAACAAGGCTGTATGTCATGAAAGGCACCTTCCCCGCAGAACTCTTGGAAAGGGATGACTAAGGTGTGAGGAAGTGGTCCCCTCTTGCCTTCCTACCAGCATTGTTAGTTTTATTCGGGGCATCAGTTTCGGCAGCAGTGTAGTCATGTGACACAAGTTTGGCCAATGGTATAACAAGTCCCTAGTGAAGCATCTGGGAAAGCTGGCTAAGTTCCTGCCTCCCAGTCTTACTCTCAGTAGGTCAGCCTGAGCTGTGGGCAGGGCTCTCCAAGTTGTCTTGCAAGCAACAAGGTCGTACTTGAGGTACTGGAATACCTTTGGAGCCAGCATACCTGCATGGCCTATCTGTTGCTGAGCTTTTACTCAAAGGAAAAAGAAAAAAAAACTGATTTTTTTTCCAGCTTTATATTATGAGCAGCTATATGATGAGCTTCCTAAGACTGCTGTAACATGTGACATGTACTTTTTCATAGGCATGAGGATGAACGTCCAAAGGGAAGGGCTTGGCAGAGTTCACTCTGGAGGTTCTTGGGAGGAATTCTTTCTTGACTTGTTCTAGCTTCTGGCATTTATTGTCTTACAGATTACACTAATCTCTGTGTCTATGGTCAACCATTTGAGCGTATGAATTTCAGAGGACTGTATCTACCAGGAAACATGGAAGGTTGGGAATATTTTTGCTCACAAATGTAAGTGTACATGTCTCAAGGGCATGGGGCTGAGTATATGAACAGTTATAATTGTGATTTTAAGCTGTTTTCTTATGCTCAGTGTATGTCCTGGGTCAGTAATATCAAGTCACTTGTGAGCCTGTTAGAAATGTTCAATTTCAGATCCTGTATTAGATATTGAATCTGGTTCATTTTTAGGTGACATGTGCCTTTTTCTTCTAAAGAGTCAGTACTGTGCTACCCACAATTAAATCTGGTCTTGAATAGCAGTTCTTATCACAGGTTAATTGACCAAGAGCTGTCTGGTGATCACATTTTCTTCTCGTTTTGTCAAATATTTGTTAGGTACCTTAATGAACATTCCCAAAGACATTCTCTGAAAATTGTTTTTATAAGTTATTGGAAAATACAATTTATAAAGTTCTTATAGAGATATATAAACTGATTTTCAGAACTAGCTAATTCTTTCAGCTAATTCTTCCATAAATATTATGACGTGTTAAACCAATAATGATATAAGCAATCAACAACGGAAGAGTTGAAATCAAGTGTGCCCTTAAAAGAAAGGTCAGTGAAAGATAGAAGCCCAGGGCTAGCCTGGGTTGATCTCTTGTGCTAGCTGGCTTGCTGTGCATTCAGCTTTCCTGTGCCTTGGTTTCCTCATCTGTCAAAGTCCGAGCAGCTGAAATGGCTAACAGGGCATTCACATCTCTAATATTTCAAGGTCCTATGACCCAGGGTACTCTCAACTAGATCACGGGAACCTAATTTCTATTGATGCGCTATAGATGTGTGTGACTCGCCTGTGGAAAGGCGAGCTGCTGGAAACCACACAACTGCACCTCCTCACTCACTTCAGAGCCCAGCACCCTCTGCACACAGGCGGCAGCTTGGCTTGGCTGCGCAGGGATCAGGTAAGTGATGGCTGCTCACCCACGGGTAATTATGTGTGGAGTTTGGCAAATCTAAAAATAGCTGTAGCTCCGTCTCAGAGGTTAATATTGTCAGGATGACAAGAAGGGGAGTAGCTATAGCAACAGAAAAATGAACGGAAAAGTTTTCTAAAGTTGTGGGAAAATGTTTAAATTTAATAAAACAAGTACTATAAATTCTTGTCTTTGAATTTTTCATTTCAAATACTTTAATTAAGTGACAGTAATAAAATTAGATTTTTTTCATAGTTTTAACAAGATAAATACCCTCTCAGTACTTGGTTCCAGACCCATGAGGAAATTCTGCTAACCTGTCAATTTTATTACCCCTATTATTAAAGTGCGTTTGAACAATGTTATGTAATTTTCCTCTTAGGAGAAAGTCTCCTATCAGTTATAAAAAGTTTTAACAGTACTTGACATTTTAAGATATATTTATTGCATGTGATGAAAACATAGGTGGAAAGGCTTTCTCTTGAGGTGAACAGAGAAAATGATTGAAATACCAGAGTCCAGAGAAATAACTCCTTGAATAAGGTTCGAGACTGTTCTATAGCCACCCTGGCAGCCCGTGGCGGGGCACAGCGGAGGCTCAGAAATCCTCCTGTCATAGAGTTCTGATTCACCAACTAGCACTCAGTCATTCTTAGAGCCAACATGTCAAAATGCCATCATAAAGCATGATTTGGTAAGTGAAATATACAAAAATGCAGCACTGGTCCTAGCTCCTTAACTGCTCAGAGCCATGAACAAAGGCTGGATGAGTTCTAGGTCTTCCTGGAGAAGACACAGTTAAAAGGTTTCAGGAAAGAGATTTAAGTATATAAGGTTTTAGGTATATATTTTGGCAACAAACTGGCAAGAAGAATATTCTTATCTCTATTGACCTGAGGATAAGCATCAACTCAGTTGGGTCACAGAATCTGGATTCAACCCTATGGCTCTTTGATCTCCCGAGTTGTTGTCTCTGCTCAGATATCACTTCACTATTGTTAACTTGTCTGCTCTGTGCAGCTAGTTACATGAACTTAAGCTGGCCACAGATTTTCATTGAATGTTTTATATTTTCCAAGTACAGAAGATTAGGATCCTTGGAAAGTCCTTCTATAATCGTCTTTTTACCGAGCAACTGCTGTTAATGGTTATTTTCACATCAAATACCTACTACTCTTCCCTCTGCTTTTTTTTTGCCCCCTCCTTTTTTTTTTTGGTTGGTTGTATGGCTTGAACTCTGGGTATGAGCACGAATCCTCAGCTCAAGGAGAGTACTCTACCACTGAGCCACAGTGCCAATTCCAGTTTTCTGATGGTTAATTGGAGATATGAGTGTCATGGACTTTTCCTGCCTGGCTTGCTTTGAACTGCAATCCTCAGATCTCAGCCTCCTGAGTAGCTAGGATTACAGGCGTGAGCCACCAGCACCTGGCAGCTTTTTTTTTTTAAACTCAGAACTCCTTTCACCAACAAAAAGTTGTAAATTTTTTATAAAGACTGAAATACTGTATTGTACTCAATCTTATACTAATGGGGTTTTCAGACATTCTACTTTTGTTCTATTTTAATCTGAAATTTAAAAAATACATGGGAAAAAAACTAAAGGGAATCAAGAACTTCATCTGAATTAATTTATTGCTTACCACACAGGAGCATCCTTGAATAACAACTGTTACACTGATGAACTGAAATGCGTCTTTGGACCTTGAGCTTAGGGATTGGATTGCTCCAAACACCCATTGCCCCACTTTAAATCTAGGCATGCTTTTATATAGGAAAAAGCAGTTGGTAGCTATATGAAGAGACTGGCACAAAAACAAATCTAGTTTTGCATTTAGTTGAAAACTCACAGCTTGTATGGACTTTTTGTTCTTTAACCATTTTAATTAAAGTGTTTTCCCCTCCCCATGCAATGAGAAAATGTTCTTTGACTGATGATTGAAAGACCAAAAGCTGCTTGAAAATTCTGAGGCTTAAGTAAAGCTGCTTCAAAAGCTGCTGTGGATATCAAACGGCTTGGAAATTTCCTAAAAGGATTTTCTAAAGTTCCAGTAAATCTTCCTCTTAATCATTTTTTTTGCTTTCCTACTCTGGTCAAAACCACAATCAAGTAATGCAAAGGTGACTGACACTTTAGTAGAAGTTAGAAAGCAAGAAATAAACATATAGAAACACATAGTTTAAAATTAAATTGCACTTAATTAGTCCATATAGAATATGGGTGCAAGTTGGCTTATGCCTGTAATCCTAGCTACTCAGGAGGCTGAGATGTGAAGATCACAGCTTAAAGTCAGCCTCGACAGCAAGGTCAGTGAGACTCCTTTCTCCAGTTAATCACCAAAAAGCTGAAGATGGGGCAGTGGGTCCAGTGGCAGAGTGCTAGCCTTGAGCACAAAAGCTAAGGGAAAGCACCCAGGCTCTGGCACCCACGCGCACAAGCACACGCGTGCGAGCACACACACACACACACACACACACACACACACACACGTGTGTATTTGTTTATAAACTATCTCTTGCTTTTTATGTATTTTAAATATAGTCATATTAGAGAATATAAAATTTATATAAGCCTAGTGCTGCATGATTTTTTTTTGCGGGGGTGGGGGGGTCAGTCATGGGTCTTGAACTCTGGGCATGAGCGCTGTCCCTCAGCTAGCTCTTCAGCTCAAGGCGAGTGCCCTACCACTTGAGGTACAGTGCCACTTCGGTTTTCTGGTGGTTTACTGGAGGTAAGAGTTTCATGTACTTTCCTGCATGGGCTGGCTTTGAACTGTGATCCTCAGATCTCAGCCTCCTGAGTAGCTAGGATTACAGGCGTGAGCCCCCAGTGCCCAAATGATCACAAAGCAGCATGTAGACAACTTGAAAGAGGCAGAAGGAGTTTGATAAAAACAGAAGGCCACCCACCCTGCTGATCTCTACCAGGGTCTCTCCTGTTGTTTTCTTCTCTTGACCCTTTTCCTTGAAGGAGGGGCTGAGAGAGTGGAAGTAGAAAGGAGGGACCTAGCTAGGTGTTTATTAGTAAGACCCTGTAGGCCAGCCAGCCATTTAGATAAGCACCTGCCCACATGATTAAAAGAATGCTTGCGTCAGTATGGTTTAGATTATACTCAAAAGATAGTCATGTTGGCCACTTACAATGGACTCTATAACCTAACAGGCTTACAGACTACTTGATGGGGGTGGAAGGTCAAAAATTCATCTCCAGCAAGGCCCCTGAGATGGGCCACTCCCAAGGACCCTGCCAAGTGGGAAAGAACCTTGATGAATTTTCTTTAATTTCTCCTCAAAGGTGAGATGGATTCTGATTCCCTATAATACTTAGTGCTGCTATTTATTCATCCTAACAGAGCAACACGTGTTATTTTCCTAATTTGTTCCCACAAGAGTGGGCAAAAAAAATGGATGTCTACAAGTGTGCTAAAAGTAAGTAATAGTGTATTCACATACTTGCTATTGCAAGCAGAACAGACTTCTGTAATAGAAACAAGAGGCAGTACAAATCATTTCTAATATGAAGCATGGATGTTTCACAGATGTAGACTAGCACCTGAAGAATCTACAGTGTGACATGTATGACTCATGCAAACTGGTATGTTAAGAGTACAAGCACAGAGAAGAAAAGGGCCTATGACTAGAGCAAGTGGCTTAGAAACCTAGTTAAGATCATAAGACAGTATTACCAAAAGAATAATTCTATTAGTGACCACAGAGAGGTTAACATGGCACTGTAGCCGATTTTGAAAGTTCAACATTTCACTTTTGTTTGAGGTAGAGAAAATGTACAAAGGATAATATAGCAGCTAGATACAAAATCAAGCAGATACTTCATTTTGAATTCCCATTCTACTTCCTAGACATACAATTTGGGGATCTGTTCTTAACTCTCTGAGCTTCAGTATCCTTACAACCATCATTATTCCCAGAACCTGTGCAGTTTACTCACCAAGATGTGTGTCCATCACCTTTGCGCAGTATTTGCACATGGCATCCAAATCATTCAGCTGCCCTTGAAGAAAGGAAATTTGGGCTTCTAATTCTTCTTCCTAAGATGATAAGGATAAAAATCATGAAATTAAAAAAAATCCCCACAGTTCTCAACATGGTCAATTTTTTTTTTTTTGAACCAGGGTAGAACTCAGGGCCTCATTGCTTTTGTTCAGCTTTCATGCTTACAGCCTTTGTTCTATCACATAAGCAATTACTCCAGCCTGGTGTTTTGCTGGTTATCTGGAGATAAGAGTCTTGATGGGGCTGGGAATGGCTCAGTGGTAGAGTGCTTGCCTAGCATGCATGAAGTCCTGGATTTGATTCCTCAGTACCATGTACACAGAAAAAGCTGGAAGTAGTGCTGTGGCTCACATGGTAGAGCACTAGCCTTGAGGAAAATAAGCTCAGGGACAGTGCCCAGGCCCTGAGTCTGCAAGCCCCAGGACTGAGGGTGGGGGTGGGGATGGGGAAGAGTCTTGATAATTTTTCTGGCCAGTCTTCAAACTATGATCCTCTACTTCTCAATTTCCTGAACACTTAGGATTATAGGTGGAAACTACTAGTGCCTAGCTGTTTGTCTTTTCAAACACAGTCAAAATAAGAAAACAGTAAATAAACAAAAATAAGCTCATTACTGCTATCATCAACAAAAATGGAGCTTAAAAGATCTGAAGTATTCTTAATTGAATTAGAGCTGTGTGTCATGTGTAAATGTTTACATGTACAGTCTTGTATAAAAAGTACATAAGTATCCTCAACGCAAACAATGCAGTAGGTCTTAAGATCAATATTTCCCAGGCAGCTGAGATACAAATATTCTGTTTGTCCTCACAAACTTGGGAAACCAAAAATCTCCATTTATATAAAACAACTCTATTTTATAGACAATGCTAATCTTTTAAAATGTGAGATTTCTCAAAACACTTAGAAAAGATTTTCCTCCACAGTCTGCAAGTAGCTGTTGTTATATTTCCTCTCTTGATATAACACTAGGGCATTTTGTTTCTTTCTAGAAAGAAGAACTCTGGTTAAGAATTACCTTGGTGGCAAAAGATAACAAAAGTCTAATGAAACTGCAACTTTAAGAAAAAAAACTATGGAAAAAATTTTCCTAAGGAAATTTAGCAATTATGGGAAATTTTCCTCAGAGAAGGAGAAACATCCTCATCTTTTGGGATATTTTAAGCCCAGTCATCTGGAATAAAAAGAAAAGATGCTGCCAAGGTTGGCGTATGCTAGAAAATTGATTTTCTAGTCTTAGATACTTGTCCTTTCACATAAAAATCATGTCATAAACAAGAAGGGAAGAAAACTACTGAGGTATTTTTTAAATTGAATGTATAATTTGTCTAGTACATGGAAATTAGTGGTTGAAGAGGTTTCTTGTCAGTGTACTCCATTTTAACAATACACATCATAGCACTGAAAAGTACTTGTTATCAAATGCTGCCTGAAAAACTAGCTCTTAGGAAAATGCATTGAAAGGCTTGACACAAAAAAGAAGTAACAGAAGCTTGAAAACAACTGTTGTAAAACTTCCACTGTAGAATTGTACAAGCCCTAACCCTACAACATGCAGCAGATTCTCCTCCTATCCTTAAAAAAAAACACAAAGAAACTATCCCCTTCCTAACATCAGTGGGTCTTAAAGCCAGAAGGAACGGCATTTCAGAACTTTCCTAATCTTTTTCTCCTTTCTTTTTTTGCACAGGCTTGATTTCCCCTGCTCTATGAAGAAACGATGTGAGAGAAAGAAGGCTACATCTGTGGTTAACTATGGCTACTGTTATTGATTCCTTGCCTCCTTGGAGGTGCCTTTTGCTCAACAGCAGCAAGATCAAACTGGGCCAATTTGGGGATCATTTAAGAAAACATTTTCAACTTCTTTTCCTACAGGAAGATAGCTATTGTACTATAAAGTAGTTCAGGCTAGAATAGTGTAGAGGAGAGAAAAAGGCCATAGCAGAAGCACTGAAGATATAGGCAGGTGAATAGTAGGAATGTGAATAAAGTTTTCACTGGCCTACTTGGTTCAGCCCAATTGCATCCATGCAAGTCAGGGGCCCAGAGAAGGGAAGAAACAGCAGGAGTCCTGTTCAAACTCCTGGACTCCTAACCACAGACCCACAGGAACAAGGTAATTATGGCGTGGTATGTTAAGTAGCAGTAAATAGCTGAAATAGTAGCAGAGTGGAATGACAACTATATTGGTAAATGGCATGGGAAACTGAAGTTCTTTCTCTTCCTGGTCCTCCATTCAAAAGTCACGTAAACTCCAGATATTCTCTCCCCATCTGACCGAAATTCAATATTCTGGAGAATGTAGTCAGTGGCTCTGTTCGCAGGAACTTACAAAGTGATAGAATAACAAAGTTAAATTAAGAATGTATGAGGTAAAGTGTATAAAATTCTCACAATGAAATAAGAGGCATCCTTATGGCAATCCTGGCGCTAATCTTGCCCCCTCTACTGAATAGGCCTTTTTTTTTTTTTTCATTTGTTAGAGACACAAACCTAGCCTGAATTTAGGACTTGTGTATTCTCTTTGCATGTGGCTACCAACTAGGCTGCTGACAGCCCAGACTGGGCAAAGGGCAGTCAGAAAGCAGTGCTTCTTTTTTTTTTTTTTAAATTTTTTTTATTAAGTAGTGCTTCTTAGTTTTAAAAACATCTGTTTGGGAAGGAATAGGAGAAACTCTAGGGCTATGTGGCACAGGCTGAAACCTTCTTAATGAAGACTCAGAAACAAAACAAATCAAAGAAAGGCTGGACAACTGGGATTGCATGAAACTTCAGAGCTTCTGTATGACAAAGGACATAGCAAGCAAGATCAATAGAAAGCATACGGATTGGGAGAAGATCTTCACTAGCCATACAATGAACAAGGGTCTCATATTTAAAATATACTTAGAACTCTAAAAATTAAATCCCCCAACAACAAATCCTCAATGAAACAACTGCCCGATGAATAAGTGGGCTAAAGACTTAAAGAGAAACTTCTCTGAAGAGGAAATAAGAATGGCCAATAGACACATGAAGAAATGTTCAACTTCTCTAGTCATAAAAGAAATGTAAATCAAAATAACATTGAGATTCCACCTTACCTCAGTTAGAATGGCTAGAATCAAGAACTCTAATAACAACAGATGCTGGAAGGAATGTGGCCAAAAGGAAACCCTACTGCATTGTTGGTGGGAATGTAAACTTGTTCCACCACTTTGGAAAGCAGTATGGAGGTTCCTCAAAAGACTCCACAAAGAACTCCCCTGTGACCCAGCAATCCCACTTTTAGTCATTTACACAAACAATCACAAACAAGGTCATGCTAAAGTTACCAGTACAACTATGTTTATTGCAGCATTATTCACCATAACTAAGATGTGGAACCAACCCAGATGCCCCTCAGTAGATGAATGCATCAAGAAAATGTGATACACACACACACACACACACACACACACACACACACACACAGGAATTCTATGCCTCCATCAGAAAGAATGACATTGCCCCATTTGTTACGAAATGGAAAGACTTAGAAAAAATTATACTAAGTGAAGCTAGCCAGACTCAAAGAAACATATAGGTCCCATGGTTTCCCTTATCTGCAATAATTAGTATATGTCTAGGACAAACAGATAAAGTCAAAAGCCATGTACATATGACTATATATCCTGATGCTATGCGAAATGAACCCCAAGATAGGGACACAAGAGATTTTATCTTTCTTGTTGTTCTTTTTAATGTACTTATAATAATATACTATGTGATTTTTTTGTTTCTTTGTATGTTCTTCCCCCATGGTACAACCCCTTGTCACTGTATTTGATTCCAGTGTCCTGCATTTTGAATATACATTTTTCTAATTTGGGGAGGGGAAGAGAAATAACAAAATGCTGAAATGAGGATACAGGATGACTCATTGTAACAATGAGATGTAGGGGTGGGGAGGAGGGAGGAGTTGGGGAAATGGGGAGGAAAGGGGTTGTAGGGGAAAACAAAGGAGAGGGTAACAATGCTCGATAGGAAATGGACTGATTACCTTGCTTATGTAACTGTAACCCCTCTGTTCAGTATCTTTACTATAAAAATATATATTAAAAAAAAACCCTGTTTGCTTGAAGCTTTAGTTTACTTTGGATAAGCAACCACTTCTTTGAAATGCAAAAGACTTCTGGAGTTTTAATCCCTATCAGTCATTCCTGCCTAAAGGGATTTATTCTTTTCTGGAGTTGGGAGGGAAGTTAAAAGGACACATTTTAAGAAGGTAAGTGTGGCATGCTAAGCTTGAGACACTGTCAAACTGGAGTGGGTCTTTATCTCACAGGGTTGTCTTCATCAAACACTGCTGCTCTATCTGAAACATTATTCTGCTAGATTGTGGTGAGGTAACTGGGGCCTTTAGAGTAGGTGGTGTGTGTGGGTGTTAAGTGATTAGAGGACACAGCAGCTTGGGATGCTTTCTGGGTAAATGTGCATGGATATGAGAACATAAATTTCCAAGCTTGAACTTTTGCTTAGGACTCTGGAGGTAACAGTTAAAGAGCATCTTGTAAGTCTAAAACTCAAGTGAATCTCAATACAAACCAAATCTTCATATAAACACTGAAAGTTCACTATAGAAAAAAGGAACTTTGTCATTTATTGTATTCATTTTCAGAAGATAACCTTGTACAAACCAACACTAGATACATGCATGAGAAAGAGGCTTCTCTGGTTGAAGCAGGTGGAAGGGCCAAGAACCTTTTCCATTTGGAAATAGGACAACCGGTGCATCATCCCCCTAGAGGCTGCTTAATTTAAAAACATTCCGAAACCCTTCAACTATCACTTAGACTTTATAAATAGAAAAGCAGTCATTTGGAGGCAAAAGAGTAGTTTGTCATATATTCTTCACTCTATTATGTGATGACAGGTAAAAGAAAGCCAATAATCAAGATTTGATGATGGCAGAAAAACCATTTTACACTTATGCCTCAGTTTCTTGGTATTGTACTTTCCTTCTAGTTGAATGCTTCACACACTGACTGCTTTAGTCATATGTTTTTATTAAATG